GTTGATCACTGCAATCCTGATTCTTCCATCACCACCAGGCACAAAGGCTAACACCACACCACTATTAGTACTACTAACAACAAAGGTGTTCTCCTTCTTCGTCCAGGCATTGTAGAATTTTTCTCTTCGTTGTTTCTACCACCACTCTTGGGATGCTTGAATAACATTCTTGAGTCCATCAGCTGCWGCCCAAATGTGTTGATCTCCAAGCATTGGATACTTGTTTCTTCCAATACTAGTAGTAGCAGGAGCATGCTGGTGAAGAATGTACTAATCATCCACCAGCACTTCTTCTTTCTTACTATTTGGAACACGACTGACCATGGTGAGTGGATGTTTGTGGAGGACAACAACAAGAACAACAAGTAAGAAGCACTCTCCTGGAAATTTGTTCCACTTGTACATCACTGTGGATGTCAAGTCAAAGGTCATGGCCATTGATCTTGCAACAGATCCTCTTGTCCTGAACCAATGACTAGTACTAGTACTAGGTAGTAGTAGTAGTACTAGTATAAACGGGAATGGCCCTGGCCCGTGAACCATGAACTCCACAAAGCATTGCTAAAAAAGCAACACGCACAAAGAAGTGAATTTCTCTTCTCACGCAAAGCGGTTTCAAAGTGTTTGAAGCGAGTCCATGTTGGCTGCTGCAGCATCGGAAAGGCAATCTCCCAATAGTTTGATAACGGATCGCCTTTTCAGTGGCAGTTGAATCTACGACCCSACGTATGATGCTTCCTATTCAGTACTACTTCAATGATGAAATTTTTGACAATGAATCGGCATACGAACACATCTTCAAAATTCCAGGTCTTGGATCATTCGGAATCATCAATTTGAGCATTTCATTTTGGATCCACAGCTTTGTATTCCTTTCTCTTCAGTCAGTTGCCAATTTATGCGTGGCTGCTTTTGTTTACAAATTCATCCTCGTTGTCAGGCCGGCGACGTCACTACAAACCACCAAGACTTCATTTCATCGTTCCTATCTAATCGGTTATGGCTTGGTGTGCCCAACATTGCTGCTCGCCCCTTTATATATTGTTACTCATTGCGTACACCTSAACAATGTCACCTTGATGGTATGCCTTTGTGGAGCATYTCCCAATTTACTACTGCTACGAGTTGTTGAAGCGATCCACGGGTTTGTTCCGTCGGCCTTTCTGCTCGTTGACGACGACGCCACAGCAGATACAAGTATTCATGRGAACGGAAAAGAAGTTGTTAGGCCAGGATTGCAGAAAGGATCAAAGAATGGATTGGCAAGATTTCTTCTGTACTACGCCGCAACACTGCAGGTTAAGATCGACGAGAGAACCAATCAACCAGTTCCCTTCACACGACAAATCATGATCTCAAAATTAATGGGGTTCTTCTCAACCTTTTTGCAAACAAGCATTATGTACAGTCTATTGCAATCCTTTGATTACGCTTTAGCTCCGTCTCGRCRTCCGATCCAGAGTTTTGTGGATCTTTATTACTGGGGAAATATTTTGAATGCCGTTGCAATGGCCGCGTTGACATCCCTTTTGTTGGAGGGCGGGGCCTCGGGTCTTGGATTAATCACATCGTTTTGCTCGGGCCTTACCATGGAAGATTTTTCTCTGTCTCCCATGACGCAATCTTCAAGTCCGTCCGATTTCTGGGGGAATCGATGGGACCGACCTGTGGCATCCGCYTTGCGGCGTGGAGCCTATCGTCCCTTGTTGCAAGCTGGATACTCACGAAAATTTGCCGCCATAACAACATTTTTGATCAGTGGGTTCATCCATGAGTACATACTGCTTCTAATGGCGCAACGAAAAAGGACGCCCAACGATAGCRGACAGGCGTTGCACCCRGAAGAAGATGGATCTTACCAACCAGAATTCGGAAATCATTTTCTCTTTTTTGCGTGGAATGGGATCGTCTTATGTTTGGAACGTTTGTTCATKAGCACAGAAAAGGGGCGAGCTTTCTCAATRTGGATGCAATCGAATGTGCCGAAACCAATTCGCACGGCTCTGGTATTACTGACAGTGCTRCCAATCGCACACCTCTTTACAGATGAATACGTGAAAGGCCGGTTTTACGACRACGCCGCTCACGCGTTTCCGAGGATAATATATTTAGGACAACCAGATTCRTAGAAATCTAATACYTCCTGTCCCTAAACTATGCCAAACATCGAAGCGATCAAAATWGGAGAAGCTAAGTTTGCTTTTAGATACTATTAATGCATCGTGTYTGGTGTTTTCAATAAAATTCTCTATCATTCGTTCTACACTGATTCCCTATGGAGCAACAGCTGCTACAACCACATCTTTCGTGTTTCAATGCTCTCATAACTCTTTATCTTGCTTCAATATCTTTTGTACGTATGGATTTTTATCGTGTCTGTAATTGATCCAATCGAGTTTCGACCGTGATTTCAAATGGGTGACCCGCAAGACTTGATCGTTCATGTTCAAGATATTTTCTACTTTTTTCAGTGTTGCCGGATTTGCGTCGTAATATACACTTATAAAGCGCCCCTGCTCGTAATACCGTTGTTGCGTCAAATAATCAGGGTATTTTGCCTTGAAGCGATGGGGGAAAGTTCGCAATCCATGGTTTTGAATGCTCCGAATKATCCCGCCATTTTCTACAACCTTCAAGGAGACTTCTTTCATCAACGCTGTCAATGCCTTGAAGTCTATCGCATAAAATTAGRAACAGCGCGTCAAGAAAATTAGCATAAATACAGACATCAATATAAATCATCAACAGTATTCGAAATACCAGTGGCGCAGTGATGTCGAAACAGTCACCGAAGGAAGGAAGGAAGAACATGAGAGTTTCGAAGATAGAACAGTAACGAAAGCATCAGAATAGGAATATGCCACAATGTACAGGCGATTCATAACACTCGTCGGGTGTGAACGAATGAACAGTAACGAAGGCATCATAATAGGAWTGTGCAGAAATTTACGGGCGATTCGTAACCATCGTCGGTTGTAATCGAATGCATTATTTCGCTCATCGAAAAATCTATTGCATCCCCGTGAAAGCAGCAGTAAGAACGATTGCCAGACAAGCATCTCTTCCTTTACTTACGGGTGGTATGTTTCGTTGAGAGAACGCACTCATAAAACACCATGGCTCTAGATTAGAAAAGAAATGACTATCGCTGTTGTTCAATGCTTTAGTGGCTTTAGTCCATGTAAATGAATGGAGTCGTCGTCGGTACCAGTGTAATCAGAGGCAAACATCTYGTGTTGTTGACCTGCGGGAAACTTAAGAGATCGTTGAGAGAGTACGGTACCGGGCCGGTAGTAGTTTTTAGTTTTTGTTTTGATTTTGATCGGTGATGGACAAACTCCAAATCAGGATATATTTGGGGGATAAATTTCGTCCCCTTAAATTTTCAGTCCTCATTTTTTTGGTTTTTGCGAAGTACGTTGGATTGAGCCTCACAAGAAGTAATTCTTTCGATTTTTCATCGCCCATATTGCATCATCTGAACGAGGCATACCACATTTTTTKAACGAGATCTATCCAAACGTGGGCGAATAGTAATGAACGAACCGTATGGTACGGTACGATACTCGTACCTCATTTGCGTTCGGTCGAGTGTGACCCATGATGGATTTTTTGGATGCGAAGACATAAAAAAATACTTGTAATTCAGTTCTCACTTTTCTGATTACTAGCGACGAATCAAAGCAAAAGATTACGATGTCGAGCACTGTATCCTACTTACTTACCGGAGACRTCGGTGGAACGAACAGCCGTATGGGGTTGTATCACGTTGGGAACGACACACCACTGGGGGTCGTATATTACCGTAACGCTGAGCACTTGACCAAGAGAGAAGATGGGATTTTCCAGAAAAAGATAATTTACCCTTTTTTGAAACATATCTGGGATACAGTCCCAAACATRCCGCCTATCGAACTGGCAGAAATCATTGCATGCTTCGCTATTGCTGGACCCGTCAAAGACAACAAGGTAATCATGTCGAATCTGCACGGTATCGAAATATGTGGGGACTCCATCGTTGACGGGACKTATGATTGTGGCGAAGAAGGAAATTTTTTCTTGAAATCCATCTGTGATTGCAAAATCATCAATGACTTTGTTGCGCAAGGATWTGGTTGCTTGACCCTTCAGCCTGACGAAGTCATTGAGCTGACCCCGGGTGCCCTCAACAAAATAGACCCGACCGGCCCAAAAGCATGCATCGGTGCGGGAACCGGATTGGGAGAATGCTTTTTGACACCCGACGAGCGGGGCAACTATTCTTGTTTTCCTTCCGAGGGAGGACATGTTGACTGGGCTCCRCGAACAGACGTCGAGATCAAATTGTTGCAGTTTCTGAAAGAACGATTTGCAGGCAAGAATCGTGTCAGTGTAGAACGTGTCGTCTCTGGCACTGGTCTGGGGAACTGCTATGATTTCTTTGCTCGTGAATACCCCAAAAAAATCAACAAAGCGGTTCACAAAGAGATTTTGGAATCTGGTGATATGAAGGGCAGAGCAGTTGCCATGGGCGTGGAGAAATGTGAACGTACGTGGTTTCTAGATTCATTCTTGCGTGCAGGTTTGCTCTCGAAATGATAAAGCATTGATACCATTGACCAATCTAGCTCACGAAAGAACGATTCATGATGACATTGCATGCAATCGTAATTTGATACGAACTGTTGTCGAAATTCCTCACTTTTTTGTCCGATTGTTCTTGATTGTTTTCCAGTTTGCCGTAGTGCAATGGAAACGATGATTACGTACGTATCGATTCGCTTGTAACGCAGTGCAAAAATCATGGTTTCTTTATTTCATGAAATTRTAAGGCATGCCCCAATCATGACTGACACTTTGATGCGTGATGTTTCGTATTTTTCTTTTCTTTTACAGTGCGTATGGTTCAGAATGTGGCAATGTTGGCATCAAACTCATTCCAACTGGTGGTCTTTATGTCACAGGTGGGTTGACCCCAAAGAATATCAAGTGGATTGAGGGTAAGGATAGCCWTTTCATCAAAKCATTCTATGATAAGGGGAGGGTTTCTCCACTCCTCGATAACGTTCCTCTTATTGCCGTTATGGTGGAAGATATGGGAGTCCGTGGGGCCCGAAAAAGTGCTGAAATTGTACGTTCATCAATAAAAKTRGGTGTCCTTGGTATCCTTTCTCTTTTCCATACTCATGTTTCTTTACTCGTTTCTTCCCCCTATTAATAGCAACACGAGATGTTCGAGGCCAGAAAAGCTGCGCTACTCAATAGGAATCCTATTCATCCGCCCTCGTCGTTGAAGTTGGATTCAATGGCAGCAGGATCCAATGATCCAGTAACAGCTCGCTTGMTAAAGCTGGAAAAGGATGTAGAAGAAWCAAAAACATTGGCGAAGATGAGCATGGCATTGACCATCGGAGTCGTTGCGGGATTCGCATTGATGAAAAACAGATAAAACAACTACCATGCCATAGAATCGACAAAGTCGGACACTCGCAGGATCTGCTGGCTGTTATGTGCAGCTCTCCGAGTTCATGCCGTCCTTTTCATCGTTATRTATACTCTGCTCTTAGATGAATCGAAAGTATCGGCCTATTCAACATACCATTTCTAATACTTTATACACGGCATAAACTATGATAGCTAATCTATATCATTTGTCTGTTTTCATTTTCGACCTTGGGCGCCGATTCTGATGATGTTGCCTCTGTAGATGTATCGGTTTCGCCATACGGCTTTGTTCTGAGCCTTTCGAGACATTTGTTTGCATAGAAATTAACGTCTCGATCACGCCTTCCCTCCATAGCTTTTTCTTTCTTCATCTGTTGAAGAAGTGCATATTTGATGACTCTGCACTCGTCTTCTCCGAAAACATTGATTACTGTGCCAAGAACTCTACCAACATTTAGTCTAACGTTTGCAATATTGTCATCTGCAAGGGAAAGAGTCAATTTCAGGAGCTCTCTGAGGGGGGTATTTTTACCATGGGCGTTGGCTGCTTCGTTCTTCCACTTCGCTGGACAAACATTGTTTATAAGTATGACYTCCACCATTTTGAGGCAAAGGAGTCGTTGGCGGTAGTCCTTGTCCTTAGCACAAGCTTGGATTTGAGGTATGACAAGAGCAGTAATCCATTCTCCACTAGCATCYTCGCCGTGGCTTCCGAGCCCAGTTCCTCCCAAACACAGACATTCTGCCGCTGTTTTTCTCACAGTATCCACCCTGTCTTTCGTCAATCGTATGCACATGCGGGCAATGTCGGCGCGAGTCTCGAACTTATCGGTGCAACCAAGAAGTGCTGGAACGATTTCGACTGCGCTTTGTCGCACCCTCCACTGTTTGCTATTCGCGAGCTCCGACAACGTTGGCAAAAGACGCAGGACTTGCTCTTCGGATAGAACGGGCAAAAAGACAGGCTTGTTATCAAGGCTACTTGCCGTTGTCTGTGATTGCATCGAAGTTATGGACATGGTATCATCGTCTTTGGTATCAAATCTTGGACGAGCATCCTTGCTCGAGCCTCTCGAAGCATTTGTTACAGCACGAAGAGCGGAACTCGTGACTTCGGGGTCCGCGTCGTGCAATAGTTGTTGTACCAAAGGTATTAATCGGTCATCMACGTGACGTTTTTCGTATCGAATGCTGATTGCTCCACCCATACCACCGCCCATCGGATCCTTCAATGGCAGTTCTCCTGCTCGCTGAAGACCAACGAGAAGAGTCAGCATYTCGCCTGCCGCAGTTGCGAGTGCTACTCGAACAGACGAAGAGGGATCTTTYTGGAGCTTAATGGCAGCAGGAAGGAGAGCATCGAGCACACTAGACTCTCCAGCAGGAACCACCCCTGGAGGAGACGACAAAAGTACRATGTCTGCTAGRCGTGGAACGCACAAAACAGCCTCCCCTCGCACTCGTTCGTCCGAATCCGTAAGCAACGCCACAAGCACGTCAATAATGACGCTCGACCAGTGATCGCCAAGGGCATCGCACAGACGTTCGCACTGAGCTGCAACCGCCAGTCGAACGTGGGGTGCTCGGTCTTCCGCAAGCCGAGTGGCAACCGGCAACAGCTTACACTGGAGGAGATACACGTCCGCAAAAATTGGATCTTCTCGGCTGGGAAGGCGTCGGAGATAACGACTTCCCTTGCTGGCGTCTCCKAGAAATGCGTTCGGCAAATGCTCAGCAAGATGCCAGGTCAGGGTCATGGCCGCAGACCGCAATTGYGGTTCGGGATCTGTCATGGCTCTTTCACACATGAGCACAAGCCAAGGAACACACCGTGAATCGTASACRAGCTCGGCGATCTCGTGGAGCACGGTGGCCGTCGATTTTCGCACAATCACTTCCACATCGTGCAGTGCTCGTGTGATGACCCCTCTCAGCTGTAACACAGTGAATSGAAACGAAAGTCAGAGTGTTAGGAAACAGCCAAACAAAGCACGGGGAACAATAACCAAACACAAAAGCAGGGTAGACTCGTCCTCCCGACGTACCTGCAGCTGGTGGGGAAAGTCCAAACGACTCCACAAAACGGGACCCAGCGAGCAAGCCGTAATCCTAGCACTGGTGCTMCGACTCGCGGCCAGCCTGTGCACCACTGCCAAAAACCTGTTTCCGGCGTGCATYCGATGGTAATCGATGCTGGAGTACTCCTCTTTCTTTTTGCCAAATCGACGCGCCATTTCTTCCTTGTCAATGTCTCGTTCATCCGCCGAGATCTGTTCGCACTCSGGRCTTCTCATGATAGGACAGTTSAGAACAATCAATTTCAGCAAGCTTCCCGCGGCGCCCAGATCTGCAATGGGCCCCGCGTTTCCGCCCTGGGTCGACGAAAAGTTCTCCTCGTCCGAGAGCTTCATTTCCGTGTCCGCGTCGAGTATGTCGCACAGGCAGGCAATGAGGTCGCCGCGGACCATGGCGGCGGGCGGCGACAGCGGGTCGGCGAGGAAGGTCCTCATGCGGTGAAGGACGTCGCCGATCTGCAGGAGCAGCTTGTCGCTCGACAGGCCCGGTGCCTGGTGGGGCGGGTGGCCCGGCACCCCCCGTCCGCCTCTTCCGCGGCCACCCCTGCCGCCCCTWCCGCGCATGGGACCCCCCCGCGGGCCGCGGCCCCCCATCGGGGGGGCGGGCTGGGGTGGTGGGATGAGCAGGCTCGGGTCCATTCGGTTCTTGACAAAGTCGTAGAGCACCTTGGACGCACTCTTGGCGGCATCGGCGTAGTCCTGCGCCGAGTGGTGGTACTGGGAGTGCTGCGACCGGGGMGAGGCRGCGGCGGCCGCAGAACCCGCGAGCTCGRAGAGCCGCTCCGCCTCGCGTTCCAACCCTACCACAAACAGGGTCATGATCCATATCAGTTTTTCTCCGACCCGGAGAATCGGCTCGCATTTTTTGCTGCGGGGCGTCAGGTTGACGGCCTCGATCCACCTCTTTCGGATGATTCCGGARTACACGCCAATGTTCTTCATCGCCTGGTTGGGAGGCTCGGCGTGTGGGCTCGCGTTGGGGCCCCCCGGTCCGTCGATGATCTTGCCAAAGCCCGATCCACGGATCAGGCGTCCCATCTCTTCCCGCGCCGCCCGCAGGGCCTCCTCGGGGATCTGGCGCAGGACCAGGAGCAGCGGTCGCTGGCTCTGCCGCAGCTCGTCGATCGTTTCAAAGTGGGTGAGGTTCTTCGTTTCGATGTTCCCGACTTTGACGATCAGCGATCCGACCTTGGCTCCGGCCTTCTTGGCGGGCCCAGTCTCCAAGACGGTCCGGACGACCGTCCKTTCCAGGACGTTCTCCACCGTCAGGCCGAGCATTTCTCGTTCGATGACCACGCAATACTCTCCCGGCTCGCACTCGTAGTCCGAAAGGGYACCGATCCCGTTTCCGTTGCCGTCTTCGTCGTCCAGCAGCTTGGTGSTCCTCCTGGCTCGCTTCGAAAACGACGACAAAAAGGACGGCTTGTTGGCACCAGCGTTGGCATTGGCACCGCCACCGCCACCGACATTCCGCAAGGACGGRCGCCTCATGCCAAACATGGAGGAAAACAAGGACGAGGTTGTGTTCGAGGAGGCAGCCGTCGACAGAGTGGCCTCCGATTCCGAGTACGTGGCGCTCCTAGAATCGTTGTGGTCGTCGCCCTGTTTCGTCGGAGGCTGGTCTTCCGCGTCGGCGCTCTCCATCTTGGCAATCAGGGCATCGATGGGGTCCTCTCCCAGAATGTCACCGGGACGGTATTCTCCCGCRCAGGCCCGGAAAAACTCGAGCGTGTTGTCCCCCCGTTTCGTGGTGCAGGGGGGCAAAAAGTCGGGAATGACCACCGGAGCGTCCAGGTCGTCGTCGAGGTCGTAGCCGTCGCTGCCAAAGGACGTGTCGCCACCGATCGGGGTGTCGCTGGACGAGCCGGACTTTGCCACCCGGGGCAGCATGCCCTCCATCGTGTCGTAGGCCACCTCGATCTGCCGCAGGAGAAACTTGACGCGCTCGCAGGCAAAGGTCGTCTTCCAGTTCTCCGACTTGGCATCGCTGCCGTCGGCACTGCCTTCCMCGCTGGTTTTGGTGGATTCCGTTCCCGCTCCTACCTCGCCGTCCTTCAGATACTCCATCAGCAACAGCTGCTGCAGGAAAGAGTCGTTTTCTCCGTTGGCCAGTTTTTGCAGCTGCTTGCTGCTGCTCCACGACGCGTCCTGGTCCTTGCCCGRATCGCCGCGGGTCGCAATCTCCGAGCGCAGCAAGCTCTTGACGGATTCGAGAGGAACCGGCTGGATCTTTCTCGGTTCCGGCCGGACCTGCGYCGGTGCCTGCTGGCCCGGTCCCCGTCGGTGTGCCTGTTGCTGCTGTTGCTGCCTCGCGAGCAATTGCTGTTGCTGCTGGGGGTTCTGCTTCTTGGAAAGGTTGTGGGCGTGCGCCCTGGCAATCTCGGCGGCCTCGGCGGGGGACTTGTTGCTGGCGCTGGCGGCCTGGGCCACGGCTGCCATGGCCTGGGCGGCCCGGGCCGCCACGTCCGCGCCCTTTCGCTGCATATTCCCGCCGCTCCCGCTGCTGGTCCGGCGGAGGGGGACTCTCTGCCGCGGCGGCGTGGGGGGCTGCCGGGCGTGCTGCGGTTGCGGGTTGGGARGGGATCCCCCCGAGGAATTTCCAGGGGTGGCCATGCTTCCCGCCGGGGACTGTGGGTATTGTTGCGTCTTTTCGATCCTGTTGTCGAGGGAGTGCTCGCTCATCCTTGGCGCTGCCCTTCGAGCTCCGATTCGCCGCTGTTCGATCGGGAACCTGTTTTCTCAGCGGGGAAGGATTGGGTTTCCGAGCTCAGAACCACTCGCGACACCGCAAAAAGGCCGAACCAGAATCACGAATACGATGCGCGACCGAATGAAACGACGCTATTGGTTCCGGACTCAAACGGAACGAAACGAAACGGAACGGAACGAAACCGAGCCGAGCCAAACGCCTGGATGCGTCAGGCGCTCGCTGTTGTTGTGTTGCACCGGGAGGCACTTCGTTCGGGGAAGCAGCTGTGTTGGACCTCCGAATCTCTTCCGGGCCAGCCGTCTTCTCACCAGTTGCAGAAGGAATCGATCTCTGTRGCAGATCGGAAGGTTGTCAATGCACKCARTGCTCGTRATGGATTGGTTTTGGGTTTCACTGTGTCCTTCGCACCGGGGCAGAGATTGAACATGAAGGACAAATCCTGAACCGCTTCGCTGCTCCGCTCTGCTCTTCGATGGTGTCATTCGTGATCGTCCCTCTTTCCTACCGTTTTGAGCACGAGTACTKCTACCGAACCGCTACGTACCGTACCGTACGGCAAGCCACTGCAAACAAAACTGCCCTGCATGCCAGAATCGACGCSTACAAAGTTTTCCTACCGGTACTTCCAGAAGCCGTCCTTMAGCGTTGTCGTACGCTGCTACGGCRGTGTCACYGCTAAAAAATGCCCTGCCCGGGTGGGTGTATGCGCGCTCTRAGTATGGTGGTTGCGTACCGGCGCASGGCAGGGTTTTCAAACACCGGACGGAGACGGCACTGCGCGCGGATCGGCAAAAAGGTTCTAACGGCACTATCGCACGGTGCCTGTGCTGCAACGTCTCGTGCGTGCTGGTCGTTTCGTACCGTACGTGCCGCCAAGCCCCGAACAATTTGAAAAATCAAAAACGATCCCCAAGAAAGAACACACATGCACGTACGGGTACTACCGTACTGTACAGTACTTTACCGTGGCGAAACTCCAACCAAGAAACTCCGAGTACGTACTGTACCTAGAGAGACCGCTGGTGCAGCCTCGTACGTACTACGAGTACAACGTACTCGTACGAGTTCTACCTGAAATTCGATGCTATCATTTTGTAATAGRTTATGGGTGGAGAAAACCAACAAGGGTTTGAAACACAAGAAATTCTTCCCTCTGCCACACGTCCTGTCCGTCATCCGMAGGTGATACCGTCTTTGCCTTCTGCAAACATGCTACGCGTATCCTCCAGGGTGAAAAATGGCGCCGATCTCGGATCCCCAAACCAAACACGAAAGCAAGGGGAAGGGAACCCACTACAGTAATACGACGAACATCGCAGTAAGGTACGGTACCGTACTCGCGGGACGCTGCGAGTTTGTGGAGCACGAAATCCTTGGAGAGAAGAATACGAATACCGGACGATACTTTCTACCCGGCAACAAATCCATTCCAAGAGATCGGTCTCTGCACAGGAATACTCTGCTCTACCATGTCGTCTCTTCCACCGGCCCTTAACTTCCCCGACGCCGAAGTCAAAATTTGCGAGAAATGGAAGGAAGAGGATAGCTTTCGCCAACAAAACAGGCTCAGCGAAGAACGCGGCGACRAAGTGAGTCGGGKCCGCGCACAGCGTTCGAGTTAGGCTTGAAACAAGCCTATCGTGGGATCGGTGTCTTGCTCTCTGGATCGATCCGACTCTCAAACAATTGCATCCATCTCACACCGCATCCCAAATCTTTGTTTCGTTGTTTCAATTGCGTTTGCCTTTCTCGTTTCCGTTCGGATTTCCTATGAAACGAAAACAAACGAAAACAATCCAACAAACCACAGGAATTCGTGTTCTTCGATGGACCTCCCTTTGCCACCGGTCTGCCGCACTATGGTCACATCCTCGCCGGTACCATCAAGGATACCGTAACCCGGTACGCCGCCATGACCGGCAAGCGAGTCGATCGACGAGCGGGATGGGATTGCCACGGCCTGCCGGTCGAACAAGAAATCGACAAGATGCTCAATATCAAATTTCGCGACCAGGTCCTGGAGATGGGAATCGATAAATACAACGAAAAATGCCGAAGCATTGTGCAGAGGTACACCTCGGAATGGGAAACCACCGTGACCCGATTGGGACGATGGATCGATTTCGAAAACGACTATAAGACGATGGATCTCACCTTCATGGAATCTGTGTGGTGGGTCTTCTCCCAGCTATGGGAAAAGGACATGGTCTACCAGGGTTTCAAGGTCATGCCCTACTCGACCGGATGTTCGACGGTGCTGTCCAATTCGGAKGCTAGCTCAAACTACAAGGAYGTCAGCGACCCAGCCGTGGTCGTGGCCTTTCCCATTGTCGGCGACGAGGACATGAAGGGCGTGTCGCTCATTGCCTGGACGACCACGCCGTGGACCCTGCCCTCCAACCTGGCGCTCTGTGTCAACCCCAAAATGGAATACGTGCAGTTCCTGGACAAGAAAAGCGGCAACCGCTACGTGATGGCCAAGACACGACTCCCGCAGATCTATCCCATCATGAACAACAAGAAGAAGTGGAAGCCCAAGATGGCCGACGATTTGTACGCCATCGAGAAGACCATGCTGGGAGCCGAGCTCAAGGGCAAGCRGTACCAGCCGCTGTTTGACTTTTTCGAGGGGCCCGAAGCGTATTTCCAGGTGGTCACCGACACGTACGTCACCGACGACGCCGGTACGGGAGTCGTTCACCAGGCTCCGGCCTTTGGAGAGGACGATTTCCGCGTTTGCATGGCGAACGGAATCATCCAAAAGGGCGTGGATTTCCCCTGTCCCGTAGATGCCGATGGTCTCTTCACCGACGAAGTCTCMATCACAAAGGGCGTGCACGTCAAGGAAGCCGACAACACACTGATCGCCRACATCAAAGAGCGTGGCCGGTTGGTTCAGAAGGATATGCTCATGCACTCCTACCCATTCTGCTGGAGATCGAACACCCCCTTGATTTACAAAACGGTCAGTTCCTGGTTCATCAAGGTAGAGGAAATCCGTGATACCATCGTGGACAACAACAAAAACGTGCGATGGGTCCCCGAACACGTCGGAAAGGTTCGATTCAACAACTGGTTGAAGGACGCCAGAGATTGGGCCGTGTCGCGCAGTCGATTTTGGGGAACCCCCCTGCCAATCTGGACCAACGAGGACTTTAGCGAGATGATTTGCATTGGCAGCATCGCWCAGCTGGAAGAATTGTCCGGTGAAAAGGTGACCGACCTCCACCGAGAATTCGTCGACAAGTTGACGATTCCTTCCCAGAAAAATCCTGACGGTCCCCGCCTCAAACGAGTCGACGAGGTCTTTGATTGCTGGTTTGAATCCGGCAGCATGCCCTACGCCCAGAAGCATTATCCCTTCGAGAACAAGGATTCCTTCGAAAACGGATTCCCTGCAGATTTCATCGCGGAAGGGCTTGACCAGACTCGTGGCTGGTTTTATACCCTRATGATTCTGTCGACCGCGTTGTTTGGAAAACAAGCGATGAACAATGTGATTGTCAATGGCCTTGTATTGGCCGAAGACGGAAAGAAAATGTCCAAAAGTCTGAAGAATTACCCCGATCCTACTATTGTGATCAACAAGTATGGAGCGGATGCACTAAGAATGTACTTGATCAATTCACCCGTGGTTCGGGCCGAGGAGCTTAAATTCAAGGAGTCTGGTGTRTTGGGCGTCGTTAAGGAGATGTTCTTGCCACTGTACAACGCRTTCCGATTCTTCTTGCAGAATCTAGAACGATGGGAGTCGGACTCGGGCCGCAAATTCGTCCCATCTCTTGATATTGTCAAGTCGACAGCCAATCCTACCGATATCTGGATTTCTGCCGCGACGCAGGGACTCATCAAGTATGTTCGTGAGGAGATGGAGGCGTATCGATTATACACGGTTCTGCCAGCCCTCGTGACTTATGTGACACAGTTGACGAACTGGTATGTTCGATTGAACCGTGACCGTCTCAAGGGATTAGAAGGCGAAGGCGACGCAGCAGAGAAGGAAGCCGAAACCGGTTTGCAAGTCCTCTACGACGTTTTGTTGGATGTCACCATTGTTTTGGGTCCATTCACGCCCTTTTTGGCTGAGTTCTTCTATCAACATCTGCGAAAATTGCAGCCTTCGTATGCCGAGGCTGCCAATGGAGGCGGTAGCGCCAACCCTGTGAAGGTGGGAAAGAGTGATTCTGTCCACTTTTTGAACCTCCCCGAATACGACGAATCCCGTCTCAATACAGAAGCTGTGGAAGCGATGGAAGCATTGCAGACTATTGTTGAGCAGGGACGAAATGTCAGAGAAAAGCGAACCATCAGTCTCAGAACCCCTATCAAGTCTGTTGTCGCAATTCTTCGCAAACCCCCCASCCATGTCATCGATGGACTTACAGGCCCGCTCAAAAAATACATTCTTTCCGAGCTCAATGCTTGGGATTTCCAGGTTATTCCAGAGGAAGAGCAACACAATTGGGTTACCCTTGCTTTGACACCGAACTTCAAGGTCTTGGGAAAGAAGGTCGGTAAGAAGATGAAGGCCATTACTGCTGCTGTTAAGAAGATGACTCATACAGAAGCAGTGAAGTGTTTAGAGGAAGGAAAGCTCGTTGTTGACGATGTTGAGCTTGATACCGCATCCGAATTGATTTCCAAACTGAGTTTCTCGAAGGAAGGAGACCACTGGGAATCGATCGCATCTGCTGACGGTGCGACRGTTGTCGCGATTGACGCCACTCAAGATGACGCGATCCTTTCTGCCGGTATGGCTCGGGAAGTGATCAATCATATCCAACAGCTTCGAAAGGCTGCTGGACTGGAGCTGAAGGATGTTGTCGAAGTATTTTTCCACGAGGAAGATGGTGTCACCACAACCGAGAACGCCGTGTCKAACAATRTCGCAACATTGGATGCTAAGTTCAAGGGTTCTATTCCATTGCCGAAACGCTTTGCTCCATCATGGAGTATCGTGTTRAAGGCAGACACGGTTGACGTCGGCGGATCGAAAGTTACCATCTCAGTGTGCCGTCCTGCAATTGCTGTCAAGGACTCCTTGGACGAAATGGTAGCCAATGTTTTGGCAACAAAGGAACCTTCAGATTTTGCAAAGGGTGCATCTTTTACGTGCTCAGTCGACGGGAAGAGCTATGAATTAAAGGAGGGCGAAGATTTTTGGCTTTCAACCGTTGCCAAGGCACGATCGACCAAGGCAGTCAGCTGGATCGCTTAATTACTTTCATACATAGAAAAATTCAATATGACACTATTGCCATTAGCTAACATTATTGTTAGTCAATTTGTTTAAAAATACATCGACCTGTCCATTCAAACCAAGAAGGCGATCSCAGCTGGGGCCAGAAAGGAGCCTACTTCGTATCCGAYAGGAAAGAGTAGCGCAGACTCAATCAGAGATGTCGTTTCCTTGGAACTTGCGGGCATCTTGTGAAAGGTTGAATACATTCCCCTCACTTAAAATTACAGTTGCTGGGTCATCTTCGTCATCCTCTGGAACTTTTTTGTTGCCATTCATTGCACTACGACCTGCAAGTCTTAGTCGTAAGTCCTCGACCTCTTGCCTGAGCATCGAATTTTCTAATTCCACTATTTCAAGTTTTTTCTGCAGCCCTTCAATTTGCCGTGACGAAGTTCCAAAGCGTACAGAGCGATTTAATTTTAACGTCATCACCGCATTCACAGTGCTACCAGATGCTATAGAGTCCAAGTCATCAGTGTCGTCATAATCTGGGCCAATTTTTTGGACCCGGCTTTTCAATCGTTCAAGACCTTCATCCAAAGAAATTTCTAACCGCAGCATGTAACGAATGACTCGCAGATAAGGCCACGCAGCAAGTTGGCCGTAGTGAAGATAATTTTCCATGTGTTTCACACCAGGATTCATGAGGACATGTAAGCCAAAAGTTTGCATTGTAGTGAATCGTGGAACCAAAGTTAGATTCCCGTGGTATTTCTGTTTGAAAACTTTACCTATTTTTAAAATCAAAAACGTAAAGGAAAGGACAGTAGTAGTAGTGAGTTTCCAAGCTTTTAGTGCATTGAACAAGTAGGAGAGACTCGATMACAGAAAACGACGYAACTCACTTATATCATGTCCAAAAACTTTCGGAAAGAGTCCTAATCCACTCAACTTTAGGGCACGGCTTCGAATGTCCCATTCAATTGTTTGGAAGAGTTTCCTGTATGAACTCTTCSTAATTTGCTCGTCTTTGTTGAGAAAGGGCACCACATGAAAGTTTGTTTGACATACAACAAAATTGGACACATTGAACAGAGTTGAAATTCGTTGAAAAGGAAGGTCGGCCTGGACTGATCCATCAATCCACTCAACACCATCCACTTCGAAATCTTCCACCTTTCCCATGCTGTTCTTCGTTTTCAGTTTGGCTGGTTTCATAACTCCGGGCAAGGCACAGCTTGCTGCCACAGCACTTGCTAGTGTGACGTGTGGCGTTGAAATGTGATTTAGTAGAAGACGCTGGGCGGCATCTGATTGAGCGCGACTGGCCGAAACCGTAATGCAGACGTGTTTGCCTGTTCGCGCGAACGCCTCCTCAAAAGTCGTGTCACTCCAATAATGATCGCAGGTAGCAAGGAAATACTATTTCAGGATATAAATGACCCCRACAACAATAAAGTTAGGGAATAAAAGCATTGAAACAAGTAACATATCAAMAAAACATTTTGAGCAAACAATCTGATTGATTTTCAATACGAGTTACCTACCTCACTATCAATGAGAATTCGATGTTTCAACCAGTACGAAATCATCTCAGATATGGGCGGGAACCAACGAATATTCTTTCGTTTCATTTCTCCAGTCAATCGAAAGTCTGTTGAGACTGTGCTAAGACAGATATCCCTGGAAATTTCTTCAGGTGTAAACATAGCACAGCAAGCTGCCGCAATACTCCCTCCGGACGTGCCACTGATGACTTTGATTTTGTGGTACAGGTTCGAATCTATCAAAGCTCGCATTGTTCCCAAATGGTACATTGCTTGGGCCCCACCACCGCTGAGCATGAGAGCAGTTCGTCCCATGTTTTGCTTCATTTTTCGAAACAAAAGAATCCGCTCCCTTAATCTCGTTACAGCGTGATCGCATGTTTCGTCAACCTCCGTCAACAATTCCAGACCCTCGGACACCTCATCATAATATGCAGCTATAGCCTTGCGAGTGGCGGAGGAAAAGCCATATTGACCGGAGACTTCCACGTCACGGGCATTTGATGTAAGTAAATGTTCAAGGGCTAAATGATTCCGTTTGACAACCCCTGACAGTAAAAACTCGAGGCCAGACTCCTTCCCCTCTTCGAGCTTTTCCCGCTCTTCCTTCAGTCTTGTTGTGGTCGAGACAAGCAAATGAGTTGTTGAAGATCCTAGATCCTTTTCAATATCTGAATAATCCTTTCTTTTGTGAGCCGCTTCCGCCTCGTCTTGAAGAGCCGTCAACCTAGACATGGAGTTTCCTCGTTTGTGCAAGGACAGACGACCCGGTGACAGATGTTCGTCATTGTTGCTAAGACTGCTGGTACTTTGAGCAATTAGATCATTTTGATCCTCCTCGGTATCAAACTGCCGTCTTTTCGAAAGTTTCATTGTCGAAAAGGATTTTGACCGCCGAATATTGGGTGGCTGTTGCAGGAGGCAGTCGTGGGAAGATGGCGCATCTTCTTCGGACGAAATGGCCATGGCGGCCGCAACAGAGAGACTCGATGACTTTTCCCAAACAGGAAGTTTTAGGAACTCCGAGTAGTTCTTGACTGCATCGCACTGTTTCCTCCAAGACCTACGCCTCGACATTTTCTGTCTCGATTTCTGGATTCGTTCGCTGAAGAAAAATATGAATTGAGCGACTCGCGATCTCATGATCACCTTATATGTTTTGAGGAGTGTCAACACAAAGATGTCCAAGGCTATCATAAAAAATTGGTATGCGACAAAATTCATTTGAATGATTCCTATCCATACCGAAACAAAGAGCCAAATGATCCAGGTGGAAGCGCTAGTAACGGCAACAAAGCAGTAGGCATAGAAGGGCCAGAAGAGGAACATGCTCAATATCACCAAAAAAGAATTWCGTTGGTTGACAATAAAGATAGAATAGGTAGATCGGGCATACTCCGAAACAGTGTCCGAAAAAAATTGGCTTTGGGTTCCAACATATTCCCACCATTCGACGACCCACGGAGGAATGCGAATCAAAATTTCCATCTTCGCTTGTTCGAGTTGTTCGGGGCCAAATTGGTCCATTTCGTAGTCTTTATCACTTCTTTCTTCGCTCTCCTCAGATTGATAACTCGACCAGTTTKGTGTCAAATATCTCGAACCAAYGATTTCAGAAATCCTTTCTCGCGTTCCTGAAGACTGCCTTCGGGTATCGCAGTTGTGACAAAAGCAATGACACTGCAGGCCGTATACCGTGCGCGTGCCTTCTTGTCGTTGCTATTGAGTGTTATAAWTTTAATGTCGGAAGTCGGGACCTATTTTGTTTTYGTCGAAAGATGGAAACTTAGAATGATTCTGCAGGATGRCTGCAATCAATGGCGTAGAGTGACAATACTATCAAACCTTGACGTTCAGTACAAGGTTCCTATGTTCTTTCAATCTGGGGCCAGATTTTTTCCTCGATTTGTWTTGACACGTAATTTTTGAATTTTTTGACGAATTTGCTAATTTGTTAATGCCGCTTCCAGAAAAAAATGGAGAGAATATTCTGAGTTACCGTTCGTACCGTACGGTATGTAAGATACTGCATTGCAATAGGTAGGTATGGGGTTACATTTTGCGTTACATAAACCTTTCCTAAATAATTTAAGGTTAAGGTTATAATTAGCAGAAGTTGAACAAAGTGCAAAGAAGATCGGGGGCTCAACGTAAAGCGTTTGTGTGCGGTAGTAGTTGCCGTTCATCACCCTTCCGTGGTACGAGTAATGGTACGAGTAACATCGTTTTCCGAATAAGAACGAGGCCGCACCACATCTATTCCCGACCTAGTCACATCAGAAAATACAAATATACAATATATCACCATGAAGCTTGCTATCCTTTTGAGTGCCATTGCTGGAGCCAGTGCCTTTGCGCCTGCCAGTCACCAAGCCACTTCGACGACTAAATTGAACGCCGCCGATTTGGAAACTCTTCGTGGTGTTGGACCCGAAACTGGAGGAAAGATCGTGAGTATAAGATTGCCGAACGCAGGTTCTGATGCCGAATATGCATKAGAAGTAACTCAGTAGTTGCTTTCTTGAATGCACTACGCTTGTCYCCGATAACTGTTAGTTYCTGTTGTGATCGAGTCAGGATGCCGCGAACACCTCGTGTTTGGATCGAAGACGAAAAAGCACGAACAGAATTGAAGCATAAACAAAGACATCACGAATCACATCTCACTCGTTCCTTTTTCGAAACTCGGCATTCTCCTCCGAAATCATGAAATGTTTTTTTCTTTAATCGCAGTTCGATCCTTTGGAATTGTCTCAATGGGCCCCTATTGATCACCTTCGCAAGGCCGAACTTGCCAACGGACGATCTGCTATGTTGGCCACCGTCGGGTGGGTCTTCCCAACATTCTGGACTTTCGAAGGACCTGTTACCACCACCGATCCYGTTGAAGCTTTCTGGGCTGCCGATAACCAATGGTGGGCCCAATTTATCGTCTTCTGCGCCGTCATYGAGGGAATCAAGTACCGCGGAGAGATGGAAGGAAAGTCCTTCACCGGAGAAATCGACAAGGAAGCTTGCCTTGACTGGACCGGAAACTGGGCCAAAATGAGTGACACACAAAAGGAAGACATGGCCATGAAGGAACTCAAGAATGGACGTCTGGCAATGATCGGTATTGCCGGGTTCATCGCCAGTGTTGTCGTGCCTGGATCGGTCCCTGCTCTTTAAGAAACTGAGTTCGTTTGATCGGATTCGACTGGGTTGGGCCCAGAGACGTAACGCCGCGCGTCCCTGGTCTAGCCTCTTTTGGTTGCTTTGAGTTGCTACTGGAAGAACTCATTTGAGTTACTGTACCCATAAATGATACTTTTCCATCATTGGTATATTTTTAATATAGAAAAACAACAACACTTTAATGGTCAGCTTCCTTCTTTCTTCAATACATCGAATCAAAAAGGACTTTATCCACAATTTTGAAAGACCTTTCTTCGAAATGAAGACGCTATGGGCMTTTCGATTTCTATAGGAACAACTGAATCGTTTAGACTTTGACATTGTGCTGGTTTCTCGTGTAGATTATATTCTGATAGTCCTCTCKGTACGAARAAGTYGGGGGCCTAGAAGATGAATGAAGTAACTAAGTTTGTCGTCTTTTTCATCAAACGAGAGACATTGATCTCCGTCTTCACCGACGTTGTCGTCAACGAACAATCTCTTTGGCAACAACGCTGTTCGGAGCAAAGGTAAAGCGTTTTCAGTTGATYCGCATACGTTTTAACCCAGCATTCAAGAAAGTGGTTTAAGAATTTCGTTCCTTGGTCTAAATAATGTACTGTACTATTTTGTCGTTGTTTAAGTTGTAATAAATGACAAATGCGACTCTCCATTTTCGGTCTCATCTTTGAGCAAAGTGTTTCTGTCCGAAAAAATGAATGCGAGATTAATCATGCATAATCAATGGAGGCTCTGTTTTGATAAATTCGCCGTCGCCAAAATGATTTAAGCGTGTTTAATCTTTCTCTTTCTACTTGGATATGTGTGCCATKTCTAAGTTTCTAGAGATCATCGTCATCATCCTCAGGAAGAGGCTGCGCGGCAGCATCCTGCAGCTCTTGCTCGTACTGGTTCTTGAGCTTATCATCGAATTGGAATTCTGGAGGTTGCAAGGCAGGAGCCTCAACGAAGTGAAGGGCGTTGTCACCGGAAAGCTTTCGGGCCAACCACAAGAAAGGCTTCTCAAAGTTGTAGTTCGACTTGGCCGAAATATCATAATATTGCAAGTTCTTCTTGCGGTGGAAAGTAATCTGCTTGGCTTTAACCTTGCGGTCCTTGATTTCTACTTTGTTACCGCACAATACGATGGGAATGTTTTCACAAACTCGGGTCAAATCACGGTGCCAGTTAGGGACATTCTTGTATGTAATACGAGAGGTGACGTCGAACATGATGATAGCGCATTGGCCCTGAATGTAGTATCCATCACGGAGTCCTCCAAATTTCTGTTTCGTGARCAAAATTTAACGTTTGGTCAGCAGAGCATCATCACCGTGCAAAAAGTGCCATGAAACAAAATTACAACATAATCATCSAGAATGAACCGAACCATTGGAAAACTCACCTCTTGTCCAGCTGTGTCCCAAACATTGAATTTGATAGGACCACGGTTGGTGTGAAATGCCAAAGGGTGCACCTCAACYCCCAGGGTTGCTACATATTTCTTTTCGAATTCTCCCGTCAAGTGACGCTTCACGAAAGTCGTCTTACCAACGCCACCATCTCCAACGAGAATAAGTTTGAATTCTGGTGTTTGTTGAGCCTACAATGGATGGTGCGTTACCGAATAGAAGCATTGCGACAGTGTGATAAAATCGGCCGTGAAGAATGGGAGAGAACAAAACAAAAAGCAGTGAGAAAAGCTGCAGAAATGGAAAATGCTTGGTCATCGTTTGATCAGATCGACAAAATAATTAAGCTCCTGCGCTGGTGATTGTTGTTTCATATGTCATTGCTATTGCTGTATGATGCATTGCACGATTCCGTCAAAAGGTAGCTTTCCACTACTCTGTTCTAATTTAACCCGTGAAATGCTCCATCTTTCACTTCCCAACCAAACCGCAAACAAATTGGGACCATGGACAAACGCCACTGTTTCGAATGGAGCGCACTATCGGGCCACAACGGATGCAACGGAGGAAAATTTCCCACACTCAAAGGTACCTTCATTCATCGATACTCAAAGCTTGGGGACCAATTCAATGACAGACACAACACYGGYAGATTGTGCTCGGCAGCACATTGGCACCTGATGAAATATTTTAATCTCTCTCCGATCCGTGATTTCTTCATAATTGACGTAATTCAAACTGGAAGCCAAGGTTCGTAATGAATTGGAATGAAGCATATGCAACTAGCTTTATTGTGTTGACGTACCATTTTGATTTACAATAGTGTCCTATATTTTGAATGAACAAATGCTATGGTTGGTTTTCAACGTTTTTGATCGAGCAATTTTTCAATGGTCACGCTTAACAATGTCGCTCTTCTTCGAGTTCTGGTGGCTTCGATGATCGTCAATCGCGATGATGAGAATGAACCTGGCTCCGAAAGAAATCGTTGGCGCTGCTTCAGTTTTTAAAATTTAAAATGGGGGGACTGATAATGGGGGAGAAACAAATGCAAAAAGGAGAGAAATTTGGCGACATTTTCGTTCTGATTTAGTTTTTAGTTTTTCTATTTTTATGATARAAGTAATTTGTTGTTTGTTGTGATGTACTTCTAGAATGAAGAAATAGAAATCCTTAGACWATTTACAAAAATACCATCATAGCTATGGTGAGTTCTCTGCCTACATACCTGATATGTGTTGGTAATGGAAACAGTGTATTATTGATTGACATCATCGTCATCTGTCGCTACATTTAGGGATGGCGATGATRCCACCGACGGCGTCCGAATAAACCGAAATAGATCAAATTGAATTTTTACTACTGTGTTTCATCGTTTTCGTTTTTCTGTGTCAGGATATCTTGKACATAAAATCTAAGAGATTTTTGTCTTTGATAGTCGTTTTCGATGCAGTCGGGAAAGTAAACAAAACTCAAGATTGAAATCGTGAGCCAAACRAGCAACGAAGGTGCCTTAAACCCTAGGTAAAAGACAATTGCCAACTGCGTTGGCGTCAGTATGACCTGACTCCGGTGTTCATTCATAGCCAAACTCGAGGTTTGTCTATTTTTATCTTCGTGATCCACAACGAGCCAGTCTCCGTCCGATTTGAACCACCACGGCGAATCTGCGTGCGATCGTTTGTCGATTGCTTTCATTGCTTGCTGGGAACAGAATTTTGCTTCCTTTCCTTTGGCCTTCGGGTGCTCGTTCTGCGTCGTACCGTTGTTGGTATTTGTTGTCGGTGCGTCACTGGTCTGATCGCGAAGCTGTGTTTGAAGATCTCCCGGCAACCACCGCAAATCCAARTCGGGTTGCTTCGAAACTCCGATTTCTTTYAGCCGACGCTGAAGATCGCTGCGCTGGTGATAAGACGACCCTTTCACAAGATCGCTCAGAATGCTCTGCCTCGTGGCTCCTCCTAAAAACGATACGGGTGACCGTGGSGAGTTCGCTGCATCGGTATCGTCGTGAAAKTGAATTTCCTCTGCAACGTTCGAGAATGGAGCGTACCCCACGAGGAGATCATAACCTTCCTGTCGATCCGCGTCGAGAAAGTTGTTGAGATAGTAGCGCTGGAGGGAATTCATTCCGTCGTCGAGAGCTCCTCGCTTGGTCCGTTTCCCGGTTCGAGTAAAGTCGCCCTTGAGAGCGGGAGTTCCAGCGTACAAGCGAGAAATTGCGTCGGCATTGTCCGCCCATAGCAACCTGTGTGCAACTTCCCCGGTTTCCCACGGCAATTTCATAGATTTCTTTCGAAATTGCTTTTTCAGGTGGGTCCACATTCCGCTATTCGTGTCTGCCTCGGAGAGATCCTCCGACTTTTCCGAAAGCTGCTGGAAAAGCATGTATCTACCGAAAATGCTTTGGACGACGTTCGTCCGATCCAGACAATCCATGCAATTGGTGCGAACCACGGCATTTTGGAGCCGTTGGATCGTCCACCGCTTGTCTTGGGGCATGGTGTTGTTACCACTGGAACCCGTCGAAGGTCCGTGCGCCAAGAAATACCCATGCCCCTCGAGGGAAGGCCTTAAGTCGTCCAGCAAAAGGCCCARCCGATCCCAGCGACCGTTCTTCACCTCGGCGTGAAAGTCGTACCACACGTGCTTGACCGAGTTTTGCCCGATTCTGCCGGGAGAAGGTCCGGATTCCGGTGTGTCGGGACCGGCGGCCGTTTCTTCTTCGCTGCTGCTCTCGTTTCCGTGCACGTCTACCACCGCTGCCAGAACGGCGTCGAAGGCTCGACCGAGGCGGCCCTGATCGCTGTGCTTGTCGACGAGGTTCACAAAGACAACGTCGGCGTGGTCGGACGGTCCGCCGGTCGCCGCGGAATCGCCGCGGGGCYGGTCGTCCCCTTCGTACTTTGTCGCGTAGTGGCGGAGCTGGTCCAGGACGTGCAGGCGGACCGCCCGCGCCTGCGCCAGGGGATCCGCGCCGATGTTCACCCGCGGCCGGTAGGTCTTGATGTCCGCGGGGCTCGACCACCGCAGCGGGATCGATCCCCGGGTCTGCACGTGGCTCGCTACGGACCGCAGAACGGAGCGAATGCCCCCGGCGTTGCCCGGAGCGGAGGGTTCTTCTTCTGCGGCGGCGGTGGTGGTCGTCAGGCAGACCTGCTCCGTTTCCGCAAAGTTGGCGCAGTTCCCCGCGGCGTCGGCCCCCCGCACGGTGAAGCGCGTGCCGGCCCGGAACCGGCTCCGCCGGCTGATCAGGACCTCGTCGTACGAGACCGGGGCGGAGGCATTGCCGCCACCGGCCACGGTGATGTTGGCCCGAACGCCCACAAAGGCAGACGTGAGGGGAATCACGTGGTCCAGCAGCACACCGGTGAGCTTCCGGGACCGTTCCCGTTCCCCGCTGGCTCGGTGCCGCCCCAGGATCGGTTCCACGGCGTGCTGGTTCCAGAAGAACCGGGGATCGGGCATTCGGTTCGCGGTCGCGTCGTCACCGCCGCCGTCGCCCCACCACGCGGTGTGGTCCGGGGCCGTTTGGTTGGCACCGATGGCGTCCGATTCCAGRATGGACCGCTGGATGTTCTTGGTCATGTCGCGGACCACCAAGCCGTCCCCTTCCGGAACGTAATAGAACTCGTGTTGTTTCAGGGCCTTGCGCAAGAGACCCAGCTGCCGGACTTCTTCTCGCAGCTCGGGCGCCGTCAGGGCACCTTGCGCCGGTGTCCTCGACCCCTKCCCCRTGGTTTTCCCGGGCCGGTGGTACCCCTTTGTTCCGAGGTGKACGATCTCGAGGCTCGTGACGCGGCGAATCTGCCACCACGGGGTTTCGGAGGAGGAGGCCAACGGGGGTGCCTCGTAGACGGCCTCCGTTCCGGTGACCAGGATCCAGAGCATTCCACTCGGGACCCTGTAGGCTCCGTACAATCCATCGACCGGTATCCATTCGTCGAGGGGATGGTCCTTGACAAAGTCCGATTCTTCTTCCGGCGTTGCCTCGTTCGTCACCCAGTCGTCCGTTTCGTCGTCGAAGGACAGCTTGAGAACAATCTTGTCGCCTGCCTGGTCGTCGTCTCGCACCATGATCCACAGTGCGTCWTCCTCTTTCTCGTCGCCGTCTCCGTAGTTGGACCGCTGCACCCACATTCTCGGCGGCGGTCCTTGGCCTCCGGTCCCGGCCCCTCCGTCGCCGTGGGTCTTCTTTTTCTTTGCCGTCGCTCGGTGCCCGGGCTTCCTCGTRCCCCTCTGCGCAAAGACGGTCTTCTTGATCGACCGCGATCCAAATCCCGAGACGATCGTTCGTTCCCTGCGAAAGGGGTTTCCGTTGCCCCTTCCGTGCACTCGGTCCTTCGAACCGGTGCGTGCCAGCGCGGTGGTGGGTTTCGTCGAGACGCCCGAAGAGGACGAGGAAACGGAACCCGCGGACCCGGCGATCGACAGCAGCAGGGCCAGAAACCCGAAAAGACATRCGAGGGCGGCGCTCTGGAACACTCTTAGGGTACTTCTGTGGCGRCGGTGTGCTCGCCGGAAAAGTCGACGCCGGTGGTTCGCGGTTGGGTTCATGGTGTCGGTGTCTTCCGGTCGTCGCGGATCGGAGGTAGCTGTAGCTGTAGCTGTTGTCGTGTTACTGAATCGAGTCTGTGGACCGCCCCATCTGGGATCTCTTTGTCTYGCCGCGTTGTAGTGGTGGGCAGTGSTTYYGGTCGCTTCTCTCTCTGTGCTGCTTCTAGGCGGTGTCGTCCTCCTACGATGGTTCATTGAGAATCGGGATCGTCGAGGGCTCGGCGATTCTTTTTCTTCGCGAATACGTACGGTATGATAGTTCCAGTTACCGATACAAGTACGAGTACGTACGATGGATCGGGCAGGATCGAGGTTCAAATGTCAAAAACAAAAACCAAAACCAATTTACAATCGACCATCTTTTTTGATCCACGTTGTCATACGGTACCCTAGGATCTACCGTACGTTAAGGTAGTACGGCAAGATTTACGTAGAAAGTCTCCACGTGGAAGTTATGCATAATAGACACATAGTGTGTATACCTATGATACATACTTTGATACAAATTTGAAATTCCAAATTCCGCTTTCTGCCGCCATCAACCATCAAAAATCATACAACTTCCATTTCGAGAAGAATTTTCAACGATCAAAACGATCGTTTCACAACGGAACTACGTTTGTACGGTGCAGTACAGTAAAATACGTACTGTAGTTGAACAAAAAAAGCCAACAAGCAAGATCCAAAACAAAAAGACCTCCAAACGATAACACCATTACAGTTTGGTGAATCTCGTCCACGATCCGATTCTCTTGGCTGCGAGGCACCGGTGCGATCCGAATCCGACGAACGCGGCACGGGACGACACTGGTCAAACGAAACGAGCCACCGTGGTATAGTACCCGCTGCAACAAGTACTCGACCGGCACGGCTTTCGCGGAATCCCCGKCCCGGTCTTTCCCGAGCACGAGCGCAGCGATGGGGAGGTCGAAGAAGCGAAGGCCCGGCAAGCGGGCGGCAAGCGCTCCCAGCGGGGGGGGGCACCCGGCTTTGGTGGGCCCCGATCTTTTTCTGCTGCTYCAGGGCCGCCTGTTCGAAAAGAACGTCTCCCTGGTCGTCTGCGGCGAGTCCCACAACGACGCCATCGACGTCACCCGGCGATCGCCKCCCGGGCGCTTCGATCCGACCGAGGGATGGATCCCGATCGCGGACTCGTCCTCCCCGGAAGGGGACCTCGACCTCCGTTCGGGGCTCCCGCGGGTGCTCTTTGTTTCCGGCGGGGACGGAGAGGACCGGCCGTCGGGCCCGGCAGTGGAAGAAGCGGAAGAAGCAGAAAGAGAAGCAGCAGCAGCAGCAGCAGCAGCAGCAGTAACAATTCAAACAGAAAGAGAAGCAGAGACAACAGCTGCAGTAATACCTTACACAGAAACAGAGGCAGCAGCAGAAGCATCAACGACAGAAACAACAACGGGACCAACAACCACAGCGGAAATGGCAGCCACAACGACAACGACAACGGCAGCGGCAGCGGCAGGCCCCACGAGCCCATCACTCGAGAACATAGCCATTCGATTCTTGTATCCGATCAACGGAAAAAAGAACCGACCCGTCACCCTCGGAAAAGCCAAGGAGCTGGCAAAGGAGTTTGTGGACAAGTACGAGATCGAAGAAGAAATGTTTCACTGCCACCTGGTCTTGTTGTGGATYGCAACCACGGCAACGCCCGGTAGTTCKCACCAGCGCGTCGAAAAGGGACAAGCCTTTTTGTTRGAAATCGAAACCGAAGAAAACATCGATTACAACCTTTACGAACGATACATCGATGCCGAAGACGAGGAAGAAGAGGTCTACGATGACTGGGTGGTCTTTCCATCGAACGCGGCGGTATACGAATCCGAAATCCAGCGACGGAATCGCTTAGCGCTCCCGGATCTTGTCGCGCAATGGATGGACGACGTCATGATGGTTACGAACAGAGAATCCGACTTTTACGACTACGACGACGACATCACTGTTGGAACCGCAGAGGAAAGCGACGACGAGGACGGGGGCAATGGCAATGGCAATGGCAATGGCAATGGCAATGGCAATGGCAATGGCAATGGCAATGGCAATGGCAATGGCAATGGCAATGGCAATGGTGCCGACGGCAATCCCGAGGATGGGAGAAATGGCGAGAATGCACACCTCGAACCGTACGCGACACAGGCAACGACTTACCGATACGCACTATTCGAGTACGGCGATCTTGATTCGGTAGCACACGAATTCAGCAAACGCCGTCTGGGCATGACCGACATGGAGGTAACCGAAAACGAGTACGACGAGGTCGTACGATCGCGGAAGCGYCTTCTAAAAGAGGAACACAACGTATGGACGTTCGACGATTGGTTTGAACACGTGAGATCGGGAAAAGGGAACAAGAACGACAAAGAGTCGACCGATCGCAAGAACAACAAGAACGRCCCCGCGGTGCATCTCGTGTTGGAAGCATCGGTTCCGCCATGGGAAGTGGAAATGCACCGGCCATCCATCCGCAACGACGACGGAGTCTCCGACGGCGACTCGAAAAACGCCACGGCGGAGGACTTTCGCTTGCATCCCGCGGCMGAGTGCGTCCGCTGTTTGTCGGAAGATTCCGAGGCCTCGTTCGAGGAGGATTTTGACCCAAGCGACGACGGGATCGGATCCTACATTGATTTCGTGTATCGACGAATGATGGCAGAGACRCTGGCAACCACGGAAGAGAAACCAGGAGGCGAGGTTGTGCCGGGGGAACAGCCGCAAAMCGCTACACCTTGCAATGCTGACACTGTCGATGGCAAACCTCTCGATAACGGWGGGGTTGGCAGCTGCAGCGACCAYGCCATGGAAAACCAATGGTTTCATTGTGTCGACACAAGGGACCTCGGGTGCGAGGCGGCGTGCCATGCAGAATCCCTSAAGCAACACTGGTACGATCTTTTGACGCAGGAAGAGAGCAAACTGCTGTCCAACCCAGAAGAGGTTCAAAAGGATGCCTGTCCGGTAGACGAAAGCGGTTCCCGGATGAGATTTCTTCCGGCGTACAAACTAAATCCCGAACTAATCGAACTGGAGCGTCTGAAATCAGAGGGATTGTTGGTACAACACGAAGAAGAAGAAGACGACAACTTCGAACCCGAAGACCATGACAACTCCCTCGATTTCACCTTTCCGTCCTTCGAATTGTTTTTTGGAAACAACACCGACAACATATATTACACTCCGCACGTGAAAATGGCGTACTCTCCGTTCCTGGCGCACTGCGTGAAGTCTCTCGACAACTGGGAAGCTTTCTTCTCGGACMTCTTCTTCGGTGGAACTATTCCGGATGCCCTCGGTCGCTTGAGCCTTCGGGAGGAGAAAAGCAGAGGTTCGGTCCATGTGAGAAGTCCGATTCTCCAGCAATGGGACCCCGAATCGAACTCCTATRTGTGGAGCAAACGCGACGAAGAAGACTACATTACTTGCCCCTTTTTCCCSTTTGCCTTTCATTTRGTCGCCAAAGGAAGTTCGCCGCCGAGAACCTGGAGTTCCCAGCTCTTTGACAACTTGCACAACTCCCGGGACCACGAGGAGAAWAACCGGACGAGCAGGCGCAGGGTTGCGGACTCGATCAAGTCCTGGATCCTGGATTCCATCCGGCGCCACTCGAGCGACCCGAAATCATCGGACGACCAGGAATGCGGCGGAGAGTGGTTTGCGTCGTTTCTTCGCGCCGTTCACCGCGAGATCTACGACGACATAGACGTTTCGGATGCGGCCGTCCTCCTCAGGAAGAACTACATGAAGAGCCTCTCGGGCAACCGGTTCGCCAAGCACAACATTGGCAAAATCGCCATGCCGTCCGCAAAAGAGTCCTTTGACGAAATCATCGCACGCTTTGGGGAGCAAACCGATCTGTCCCCGGAAGAGCACCTCGTGACCCCCCGGGTGGAAGTCCTCGGAAAGATCCTGATCGACGTCTGGATGTCGAGCCTGGTCGACTTCTCCCTGCTGCTGAAGATTGCGAGCATTTGTTCGAACGAGCCGAGAGACAACGTAGTGGTAGTGTGCTACGTCGGATCGGCGCACGCCAAGGCCGTCCGAGACTTCTTCTGTGGCCCCCTCGGATTCAAGCGAAAGGCCTCGGTCGGAAAATTCACCTGGGACGATTGCGAAGCGCAAACACTGGACCTCCCCTCCAAGCTCTGGAACCTATCGGAACTCTTTGATTGATGCAGCGAAGGACMGAGTACTATTGCAAACGAGTGCTGCCGGCACAAGTCGTTTCGTACCATGCCTAGATGTAACGAAGATAATGACTCGAGACGCACCAACTACGTACTTGTACTTTATTGTAATCGTTTCTTTAATCTTAGGTATTCTGTTTTTCGATTTTCGTCACTGGTACCCCGTGTTGGTGATGAGTGGAACATCACGGTAAACAACTCGATGCCTCCGGTTGTTTTCTATGGCGTGCAACTCGAACCGTTGCGGCAAAACGATTTTGTGACGAAGAGACACGTAGCTTCTTTCCAAAACATTCGSCTTTTTTCCAAAAAGGAATCCTCCGACAACCTTCTTCGTTTAGCTACSCCGCAAAGTTCAATGGTTCAAAGCGTGAGTCTTTTGGAATGRTTGCCGCTGTGGTCGAACATTTCGCGTCTCGGAAGCGAAACCGCACCAGATCCAAAGAAAACATCCGGCGTGGATGTGGCCCGCTGCCGTGGGCTGGAGCGATCGAAATCCTTTTCGTATTGGAATCACTCAGCGACGACGTCTACGGATGGCTCCGGTCGAGGACCCACCTGCCGATGGCGATGGCGATGAACCCGTCGACTCTTCTTCTTCCGAGAAACGGTCGATGCTGTTGCTGCTCGTGTTGTTGCCGAACGACTGYGACCCATCGGTGCCGCGGCGAATCCGCCGAAGACCGGTCGCAGGAGTGTCTATTGGAAAGAGGGCCTTCCCAGCACATATTCCAAGRACGACACTCGCGAACAGCTCGATGCTAAAGGTCATGGATATCAACATGAGAAGCCACCCGAAACATTGCTGTATACCATAAAGCAGWGCCATAATCGTTTTTCGAAAATATTTGGGTTTTCCCAGCAAATAATAGTTTCCGACCTTCGATTGACAACATGACATTCCTTCACTGAAGACAGCSAAGAAAAAGGTGCACACTGCACAGAACCCAAGGGACATGAAASAGAAAGAAGGATCGTGCCGTATCTCTACAGTTAGACAGGAACGTGTTGCATTGGGTGCCACGATTCATCGTGCTCGAGGTCTACAGTAAAGAGCGGCTTTACTCACGCATTGCAAAGAAAAATTTTCCAGAATTGTCCAGCCTGAAATCAGTGAACAAGAAAGAAATGCAACCGGCCCGGCCTCCGGAAAAGAAGGTTGATTGAAACCCTCCCATGGACATGGTCATAAACATCCCAGTACAAAATCTATTTGCATCGTCTGCGCTTACATCGTCGGCGTTATCCATGGTTTTGCTTCGTGCAAACCAGTGATYGTCACTTCCTTCCTTCCGTCCCTCCTTCCTACCTTCCTWAAAATTTGATRGACCGCGTTGACGTCAAWYACTTCGTAAAACTTAGCACCTTTATTTGCCCGCCAGCCTGATATTGGAGATACAACGAACCGMTGGGAACWTAGAGGGCTCGATTGTTCCAATCGACAGGTCGGAGCATCATTATCCAACTGAGGCGGAAAGATCCCGTTTCTTCTGCTGTACGGTGCGTTACCGTACCTGCTGACCTGCTGACATGCAACAGACGAAGTACTGATGCGGTATGAACTTCGTACGTTCGTACCCAAAAAAAGACAAAACATTGTGGGTCATTCTAGTTCAGGGTTCAGTAAGTACGAGTACTAAGATTCATGACCCCTGGATATCCTGAGATTCGAACACTTTGCATGAAAGAAAGATGAGATGCTTAGAATACGTACTTCGTACTACGAAGTAGTAGATAGTAAAGCTTCGACGACGAATAAGAAACTCAGCAMTGTACGGTACAGTAATGAATCAAAATAATGACAGCAGTGTTCTTGGGTCATTTTCCAAGGGGGAAACAAACTGCTTTCGTCTTGTCCTTTAAAATGAAGGCGACAAACAGTCGCACATACGGTACCGTACGTAAAGTACAAGAACTTCTTACAGTACTGTTCAGTTTTACTTAAACAATGGAGATTTGCCGTGCTTACGTACACTGTTGTTGTTGTTTTGAAGCTGTTCAGGAAGAATGAAGGACATCTTACCCTACAAGTTTGTTTGAGCAAAAAGTCATTGACGACTGACGATTATGACATTTAACGGAAGCACACTTAAATAAAAAATCAAAATAAAAAAWCTCAAGTTCGTTTCATACTGTTCACTCAAAAAGAGAAGGTGGAAAACGAGAATAATGACCACAAATAAATTTTACAAGAGTAAGACGGACGTCATAGTTCAGTCTCTCGCATCGAAAAGACATTCTACTCGTGCGGAGGTGGAAGTACGACGTGCACGTACAGTATTCGAAGAAACTTCCAGAAAAACACAATTCGTGTCAAAAACAATCGAACGAAACCATGATTCTCCCTTCGACTCAAACCAAACTCTTCTCAAGTAAGATGGACTTGCCAGGAAAACCCCTTCGTCCGCTGAAGAAACGGCGAATCACTACCGTTGATCCTCCTGATGATCTTATTGGTGTAGATGAGGTGCAGGGAAGAACAAGAAATACGAAAACGGTCAAAAGAAGAAAGACAGGCGCTGTAACCCCGTCGCCCCCATCATCGCCAATCCGAATGAAAAAATCAGTCAGGTGGGGTGATCGAAAAACGRTCTTGTCAAGCTTCAATCCAGGCGACTTGTGGTATACGGTAAGTCCGCAGGTTTAGTGTCAGGAACTCTATCGCGATCAATGAGTTAATATGGCGGTCTTATTGGAGATATACGCATGAGTCGATGACTTGAGATCTCAAATGATTGCCTTACATTTTCAAAAACCTGCTTCGTTACATTAATTGAAAAAATAAAACGAAAGGCGGASAATTACAATGCGTTCATGTTGGATCGAATCAGCTCAATCGAAGCACATCGGAGCACAAATCATTCTCGCACCATTCTCACCAACGATGATAACAACAGTTTCAGTCGTAAACACTGCATTCGAGGGTTGGAGGCGTTTCAAGAAAATGACTCAAATAAAATTTACAATTCGAGAAAAAARCTTCATTATTCGACCATCTTCACGGAACAAGCCCGACAGAAGATGATGGGAATCAATAAACCAGAACGATACCGCTCTCTAGTAGCACTCCGGAGTGATATGGCACTTCGTCGAGCCCAAGAGCTCGCTGCACATGACGAGCGCGAGGTCTATGCCTTTCGAACACGTTCTTCGATGTCTCAATATAGCTCTGTGGATAACCCCAGTAATCTTCGTCGCATACGAATGCAAGAACTCAAATCCATTCCTAATGACCGATCGGCCTTGTCTGACTTGACTCGACAGGAATATCTCAACAGCAACGGAAGATCTACTCTGGAGAACGGAGTCGGCTCCATAAAAACAAGACACAATTTCTCTCCGATAGATATAAYTGGATCTTGCGATTCCTCCGTCATTTCTGTTTCTACAGCATCGAGTATAAAATCTATGGAATCAGAAAGCAGTGCCGATTCTCTATTTTCAGAAAAAATTCTAGAACTCCAGCAGCGAAATGCTCGTCGATTGATGGAAATATATTATCCAAACAGATATCAGACAGGAGAGGATGATGTGAAAAAACTGTTTCGATTTTCAAATCGACAGCGTGTGGTGGGTGTCGACATTCCTAGCGGCACCAGATGCAATCCCATCAGAGSAGCACCCAGCACTTTCGCTAAGAGTACTGTCGGTGTGAATRCGCCGTTTCGCAGCAATGCTATRACCGTAGGAGACACTTCCAATGAAATTRCATCGTCTGCGAAGATAATCATGATGGAGATGCAACGCCGAAGGCGATTTCAAGAGAATTTTCAACAACAACTTCAGGAGGTTCATGAATTGACCAATACACGACCGATATTTATCAACCATGGTAGCGCAGAGTCGAATGTTACTCGCAATCACCAACTGACGACTTYATTCTTTGAATCCTCAACAATTCCAGCAACGCCAGCAAGCAACTTGTGGTAAAATGTAAAATCCATTCAGATATCMTGAGCTGTGTCAACAYTAGAAACCAATGATACTTCACAAGCTAGCAAGTATCTACTTCCTTATAACGCTATATTATACCTGTAGGTGCAAAATGCTACTAACCTAGAATATGAATCAAACCATGAATTGCGTTTTCATAGAAAACGATACTAATTACTTCTAGTTATTTGGGATCTTTTCACACCGTAATCAAATGCTAGGTTGTTAACACATTGAGATACATAGTTTCAATGATACATTTAATCATCAAGATGGGTGCTGATAGCCTAAAGCCTTCATAAACGTCTCGTTCAGAGCAGTGCGTGCATCGTTGTAATCGGCCTCTGAAAACCCATACCGTTCCTTTGTGTTGGGTTTGGAGTATTTGATCCATGCTTCRTATATTCCGGTCGACGTATCGTGYCCACGACTATCTCCCTTGGCACTGTCGGTGATCAACTGAAACTTTTGATCTGTTCTGATTTTTCCACCGGCGCATTCACAGACCTGCGTGATCAATTCCTCTGGGTAAAATACCATGTCTTCCATCCGTATGATAAGAAATGGAAAGTTTCCCTCGACACTTGTGTAATACGAGTACCAGTCGTTCCACAGATGTGCCAAGGATAAGTGATTGTCCTCGCGTTTCTCGGCATAAGTGACTTTSACTGGATTCCATGGAGCAGCCGGCCTCGACCCTTGTCTCAATCGTGGGCACCTCTCATTCTTACCATCGCCCTTTTTTCTAGTTATCTGATGATCCCAYCTGGCGGTGTATCCGTTCTTGCACATGCTCCCAAACCATGAATAAGGATGACGAGTAGTGACGACTGGCAAAATGAATTCCTTCTTGATTTCCTTCGCCTTTTGGGTAGAATGTTTGYTCCTGAATTTTACTGGTGTATGTTTGCCCCAGGGCACTTGCTGTAGTTATGGCAAAAAAGAAAAACTTTGTGTAAGACACGAAAGAACAATCAACCATGGGTGACGCACGCATTGATCGGCAACATTGCAACCATGAAAAGGAAATTATTCACCCACTTTACTTCAACAAGCGTACATAACAATCATTCCGCCTTCCTGGAACTTTCCGTGTCATGTTCTGTTTGTTTCAGTATTTTGGCTTCCCTTACGTACCCATCTCATTCCGTAGGATTCTTTCGATTCGTTTGGTCCCATTTTTTCTCGCCGTTCGGGAATTTCACAATTTCTCTTGAGCAAGTGGGTGACAAGATTGGTTCCTGTATTAAACATGCCCGAGGATCCTAGCATTCTCTCCAGGGCGGGGACCTTTTCTCGATACGCAGGGCATGATTCGAGTCCAAGAATGACCGGACCCTCTCCTACCACCTCCCGAACCTGCGACCACGTCGGAAGCTTTTCCTTCATTTCGGGCGTAAGAACAACGCCGGCCTCGTCTCGGAACCAATCGCTAATAGATTTTCCGCTCCTGTCGTCGCTTCCGGTTCGAGAACTATGGTGGTTGGCGACGGTAGTGTTCGTTTTGCCGCTTGATTTTGAAGTCGTATGCATAAAGCCGTTTTCGCTGAAAAAGTAGGGGTTTGCTTGGAGAGAGTYCCCCGGTATGTGAGGTAGTAGGCAGATGATGTTGAACAATACCGTCGACGCGGCAACAACCAGCAGAAGGCGTGCCAACGTCTGGGTTGAGATGGGATGAGACAGCATTGGTTGCGAAGGAGACGCTTTTGATGGGGATACTAACGCCATCTTTATGTGAAATCAAAAATCACTATTCGTACTCGTAAGCKACACAATAAATTGATGGATATTTAGGACGAGCACAAATATTCCATCAAATGGAACCGCCTCTTACAACCTCTGTCCTGGTTCATTAGCATCGATATGTACGACAGTTTGATGATGATGAGAACAAACCACAAATCCCTCGATTCAAAGAGCCGTTGCCGAGGAAAGTACTAGTAGTAGTATGTACTCGTACGAGTACGAGTACCGTACCGTACTTACGGGTACACGTAACGGCTCCGAGTGGGTCATGAGAAATACGAAGTAGAAGTACGAATTACCGTACGGTACGTCCTAGATTTCTTAGCTACGAATGGCATCGATACGAGAATTCGATCTCCTATTAGTAGTAGAAGTACTACTACTACTAGTAGCATCAGCAATAAAAGGACATGGGAGTCAAGGATGAAATCCTGATGGCATCACCATGTCAAGAGGAATTCAAAGTTGAGAACACTGAGAACCCCCAGAACCCTGGAAAGGAACTGCACCTTGGAACGTAGTAAAATTACTTGTAGTAGCTTTACTAGTAGTACTAGTAGTAGTACTAGTAGTACTAGTAGCACTAGTAGTAGTACTCTTCTACTTCTACTACTAGTACTACGACTACTAGTAGTAGCACCAGGTCGTGGTGTCTTCTACTACTACTACTAGTAGTAGTAGTAGTAGTAGTACTAGTAGTAGTACTAGTAGTAGTATTTCTTACTAGGCGTGGTTGATCCTGGACACAAAAGAAAACATCATACTACTACTACTACTAGTTTTAACACACCAGCGGCAAGCACAAACCAGATGAGGCACTGCCTCATCTGGTTTGGGCTTATTGACCAGAAAGTCTGGATCTTGTTGAGAGTTCTGGATGAGGTATTTCTTGCCTTGCAGGTTGAATGCTCAGTCAACTACAACCTTTGCTCCATACATGTTGTACATGCACTCCACCTTGCTGTAGTAGGCACCATACTTGGATACAGTGCTATCATGCCAAGCTAAAGGGCAGTTGAATATGCAAGCTATTATTGCTATCAGGGGCACAGACAAAGGCACTGTGAATGTAGGTGTTGGATATCCATTGATTGCAATACTSATTCTGTATGGCCCAGTTCCTCAATGAGGTCTGTAGCCTGATCTTCAGTCCATCTTTGGCATCTCAGACCTTCTCTTGTCCAAGTTGGGGGTATTTGTTACCAATTGCCTCAACATAGGCATTGTCAAACTCTTCTCTTGACAGAGATCTGAATCTGCCATCTGGATAGTCCAGCAAGATAAAGAGGAGAATTCTATATTTCACTTTTGACAATTTGYGCATGTCCTGTGCTGCCATCCAAGTATTCATGCATTTGTATTTTCATCCTTGTATACATAAAGACATTAAGTAATATGTCAACTTGTTATTTGTTATGTTAATGGGAATCACTGTCTGACCCACTGTTTGTTTCACTGATAGTTTTCCATTTCAGGCTTGAAGTGTGGCATATGAAGGGTGGAGGTACATTCCTATGTATGTGCTACTAGTACTACTACTATGCAGTTCTTTTGCTAAGACTTTTATTGAGTTGATCTTTTGCTAAGAAATTCAAACCTAGCACCAGTGTTGGTTTTCATTGGATTCATTTCTAGTTGTTGTGGTACTGGTACCTGCTATGCCATTACGCTACAAAGAAACATCAGTATTAATTTTAGCCAGTGCTCATGGTGGGAGTATGTACAGTATGACAGAGGCTTTGGGGCAATGGTGCATGCTAGACCTACTAAACATGCTGTCAAGATGCTTTCTTTGCACCCCTATTCATAGCTTTCTAGTACTACTATTACAACTGGAGCTTATGTTATTTTTCCTAATTTTCTTTTGCTTTGTTTTGCTTTGCGACTCAACAGGCAATTGTGCTGCTTGACCAGTGTATCTTTTTTGCACCACATGTAAAACATGCATTTCCTTCATTTTTCTTTTCAATTYTTGTTTTAAAGGTGACGCAGGACCAGGCCAGGCAGCTGGACCAGTTTATAGCTCTTTTACAACAGAGCAAGGAAAATTGCCATTGCACCAGCTGTAGTAGCAACAGCACTGGCTCTGAGAAAAACACCAAGAAGGGCAGCAAGCCTATCAGCACTTTTGTCCTGCTTGGGAACAACAAGTGGAAYCTGAGTAGCARAGCTAMCCTTTCCATTCTCTTCTTCATGKTGAAGGCATCATTCTCCTGCAAATAGAAGCTCTTGTGGGTCTTGATTCCCTTCAGTTTGTGACCACCAATTTACTAGGCAAATTCTGCTGCACTGGTRCAGGTAATATGTGTAGGGGAGTTTTCATCARCTTTTGCATTTGGGAAGTATTTTTTAACAACAACACTGGTGCATTTGTAGTGGGACAAAATGTCCAGCGCTTCATTCATCACATCCAAACTGATCCCATTCTTGTCAATGAGGGTTCACCAATCTCACACCACATTTCTCAGTCCTGTAACAAGATATATATATATATATATATATATATATATACGCACAAAGAGAAGTCCCATCCAACCTTGTATTGATTAATTGCACCATCACATGTACATGTCAGCAACTCAATGCCTACTTCAAGATCAGAAAGTGGCTTGACAGTGGAGATTACTTCTCCTAGATCAGCCTAAATAGAGAAATTTCCAAACTCCCAATTAAGATTTTGTTGAATAATTGTTTTATGATTAATATATGTGAGATCCTCAGCCGCAACTGTGTCAGTCTTATACATAATTCTAATACCTCCATTTAAAAACAAAACAATCAAAAGATACGAGCTACAGAACAGAACCAGTTTGAATACCATTCACACCACACCATTTAGATACTTATGGAATTCAGTCACGTCTTTACCAATACTGTTGCATGACAGGAGCAAAAAAGATTCTGGATTGATATTACCATGGGAGATATCCTCCATCTCTGCATGAAACTTGCTTTATCAGGATGACATTGTTTTTCATCTATGAAAAGTTGTGCAAATATTACCCCAAAAACACTACATGTAGCAGTTATATTGCAAAAAAATCCTCTGCATACTAGGCTGATTCCCATTAGTAGTCTAAATCTGTAATAAATGTGAATCTAGTTAAGAGAAAGGAATTCAATTTTTGTTACTAAAGGAATACAATATCTTAATCAAATGACAAGAAGAGACAAAAACAGATGAGGACTTCAAAATTATGTCAGCTAGTAGTAGTAGAAAGAAGAGCATAAAATATTATTATTAGAACTAGTACCATAACTTCCTCTCCTGTTTCCTCCTTACTAGTAGTTGCATTATTATGTCATACTTTCTTCCTGGCACGCTAATGGCCTCTGAATGGGTCTGGTTGAGATTGCAGTGATGATATCCAGCGCCTGGGTCCTTGAGCAAGAGGAGGCCAATCAGGAAGCTTCTTTAGAAGAGCAGACAAAGAAGGAAAGGAAGAAACTACCACTACTAGAGGAGAGATGTCAAGGGATATTGTGATAGCAATAGACAGTGTATAGTTGTKCTTATWGATGATACAGTGGTAGGAGGAGCCAGTATCCTGCTTTTTGCAACCTCTACTATCTGTCCTCAAATCATGCTTGGTTCCCMTTGTAGGGAATGAATCCACAYKTCATAYATTAGAAAAAGAATCCATTCCATTGAATACCACCAGAACTAGTGTACTGAAAAAATGTKTGCATTTTAAACAGTAGTAGTAGTAGAAGCAATTTCTATTACAATGAGCATATCAGCACCTCTTCCTCTTCTGATAGTGCTTGTCTAGTAATAGCCAGGAAGTAGTAGTACAATGGGGCTAACAAACTGCTGCTAATAATCCCCATGTACTAGAATGCAACCACCTTAGTTTGTACCACTGTACCTTTTGAGAATTGAAAAAATTCATATGATCAAGTGCTTTCCTTTTTCTCTATTTTCTTCTTCTTTCTAACCACTACATAAAGCACCAAATCAATTGATATCAGGACTAATGTTGGGCTGGGACTAGCAGTACCAGTAGGACAAGAACTACCATGTGGTCTTGGGATACAAGAAGAAGGAAGAATTGTATGGAATGTCTTGTTACTACTGGGTGTGATCTGCACCAAATTACTGTTCCTGGTACTAGTAGGATTTATTAGAGATATAAAGGTGTAGTGAATATGTCTATACCATGCTCAAAGCTGTGCTGCCTTCCTTACTACTACCTAGTATTCCTTCCCCATAAAAGAATTTCAAAACAATTGTTACTTCTATAGCACCTCTTTGAGTTTTATCATTGCTGCATCTTTGGAAGTGTCCCTTGAAATTTTGAAATAGTTGCAACTAGCTTATAATATGTGTTTTACCAGCATGACTCAATTCTTCCAAGACCACAACCCCCTAGTAATTACAAAATAAGAATTGACTGGTTGGACCTCCTACCCTTGGAGGTGCTACCCGTTGGAAACACCAGGAACAGTACCAATTTTGGCCAGCATAGCTAGTACCCCTTCTGGTGGTTCATGAGGAGTTTAAATATATTATYAAATTTTTCAAAATGTGTGATTTGCAACTATTCAGCATTACTGCTACTAGTAACCTCACTTGTGTTTTCTCTTCATGATGATTTTTTTCGAATATGAATCTACCACACATGTCGTGTTTTTTTGGCTTTATCACATGCAGTAGTAGTCTTTGCCTGGTGCCAGATTGTGTGAATATTTTTAATACACAATACCAACAAGTACTACTCATGATTGTTTGCCTTCTTCAGGTGTACCCTGCTCAAAGCACCTACTATGTAGAATAGACTCCATGCTACTGTTCAATACACATTTTCTCTAGGTACTACCCAGGTACTCACAACAATATAAAAAGTACAAGAAAGGCACTTACTGTAGTATGGCTTCTTAGCAACGTGACAGGATATATGTAWTACCTGGGTCTTCTACATCCAAAAAAGATTCACTAGTAGTGTTTCAGCATGCAAAAATGACTGWTGTTGTACAATGATTACAATATTCTTTTCAGTACTATCCAGTGGTAGTTTTCTGCCAGCAGAAATTSTTACTCTATGCACATTCCGATTAAKCAAGAGTACCAAGGCTGCCATCTCCAGAGGTAAGAGCTAGATTGGTAAWAGTTTCAACATCAGCAATGGTGATAGGCCTTCAACAAAATAAAAATAGCAASTACTTTGYCAAGGGCCTACTATTAATACTACTAGTAGTATAAGAATCAAATTTGGTTTGAYGTTTGAAACCTTATGCAAGAACTGTGCCAGTGGTGATGATTTGATTYRAATAAATTCGTGGTGACTGACTTCGGTTTTCGTAAGGTGCTGTGTTGTCCGAATTCTWTAAGTAATTCTTCTTATCAATCCAGCTATTTAATGYATTCTATTWCAAGTGATCTGGCATTTTGTAACCAAACAGATCCATGATTTCCGGTGTAAACACCTCTTTTGCCACAAGCCAGTCAACTTCCCTCATTCCCTTGAAGCGATTTTCTTCCGAACCATACTTGACCATTGCCGAAACCATGTTGGTATGGCTTTTGTGTGCTGCGCCCCACTTGGCACTGTCAACAACGTAACGAAAGAGGGCGTCATCCTCTCGGGGAACAGCCCCTGCACATTGACAAACTGTTTCGACCAGTTCCTTCGCATGAAATTGAATGTCTTCAAATCGAACGATCAAGCGAGGATAATCTGCTTCAAGATATTCTTTGTACCACTGCGCCCAGTAATGAGCTAATGATGTATAGTTGGCTGGTGGATTGTATTTCACTTTAATCGGGACAATATCCGGTTTTCCATTTGGAAGAAGTTCAGGTTTGGCAAGGTTTGGACAAAATATTGAATGTGGCCATCTCGCCTCATAATTATGTTTACACTGGGAAAAAAGACACATGGAACGAAATTTACAGTCATAACAGAAASGTGAGGAAAAAATAGGATTCTCAAAACGAGTTACAACAATATAAGACTGMAAAGTCGAACTAGAGTCATATGTGTTTGTGTTTATAGCGAAGCCAGTTTGGGAGAGAAGAGTACGAATCTTACCATACTTTGCATCCAGCTRTATGGATCTCGCACAACAACGATCGGCATCACATTGGTTTTGTTTACTTTGTGATCGTGGCCGGCTGTGTTSGTCCATTTGCGGGAAGCTGGAGCGTGTTTCCCCCAAGGTACTTGCTAAAGAAGCAAAGAATAAAATGATGCGATGCGTAAGCAGTGGATAGGAATATGCATTTCAAATCATTTCATGATGCGATTTCATTTTGTTGGCGTAAAAAACTCACCCAGCGTGTACCTCCAGCTTTGTCGTTCTTATTTCTAGGCAATTTGCAGTTGTTGCTGATATACATCGCAAGAGGGTTCGTCCCGGTGTTGAACATCCCAGCTGTACCAATCGACGCGTCCACGGGATCAAACTGAGTTCGGAATTTTTTGCAATTTTCCAGTCCGAGTACAACCGGTTTACTGCCATACAATTCTTCAACTGTTTCCCACTTTGGCAACACCGCGATAACCTCTGGATCAACGTCCAAGATGCCAGCTTCACTCAGAATCTCTACCAGACGTTCTCTTCCGTCGATCGCTTTGTCGCGCGAAATACCGGTTAACTCATCAATCTGTTTCTTGTCAAATCCCATCGATGGCAAGTCTTCTTTCTTAAACTTTGTAATTGGGTTGTAGACAATTGCCCCTTTCTTGTCGCGTTTCGGACCCAACTGGACTTGATTTTTTTTGTTGTAGGGTTTGAATATATTTGAATCCGATCTCTTGCCTTTTTCGACTACGGGATGCTTTTMTTTGTGTTTTTTTACTTCTTTCAATAATTTCCTCCATGGTTTTGAAACATGCTTCGGATAGTCCTGGGGAGCTTGAGCTTTCTCTGCCTGTTTACGTTTACCTCGCCGCCTCTGATTTTGCTTTTGATCATCATGGAGCTTTCGAGCGTTTTCCGCAGCTTGCTTCTGAATTTCTCGAGGGCTTGCCGCTCTCTCCCCTGTTCGGACATGGTTTTGGTCACCAGCAGAATTGAATGTAACTCGTGACAAGGCGATTGTATAAGCCAGGGCAATTGAGCACATTACGAATATTATAAAATACTGTAATCCAGTAGTTGTCGATGACACATTGCGATTACTGGTGCTCTTTCTGCGTAACCTTGACGACGACTTCTTCTGTGATTTACTGTTGGGCGAGGATGCAGCATCCGCGTGTCGGTGTCGCAAGGACTTCATCGCTCTGTTTTATTGTCACTTATTTGCGTTACGGGCAAGGGTAGGATCAGGAGCTATTTCGGCATGAATCAGTCCGAGTGTTGGACGACAAGGGTACAGTTCTACCGGAGCCCTCGATCGGAGACAGGGAGAAAAAGTGGGTCATTACTGTACTATTAGAAGTACGGTATTTGATTACGACGGTTTACTCACTGAATTTGGTGATTTAAAAAAACCAAAACGTTTTTACCGTTTAACGGTAAAAAAGAGTAATCATACTAGTACAACGAATGTGGAGTACCAGTTGTTTCGAAGTAAAATGCGTGAACTTTTTCCCGTCTCCGCCCAAATTGTGCATTTTTTGGAATTTTTTTGGAGTTTCCATGATTTTCACTTGTGTAGACTGCAGTACAAATCCTACACAAAATAAGACTGAAATACCAAAAAGAGTTTTAAACAATTACTTTATATACTAAAACACCTTTTCTGCTCGTACCCTTCCATTAGTAGTATTAATGGAAGGGTACAAAGATGCTCAAGCTCTGTGATGTCACCAATCCTAACAAACAAAAGAAGTGTGTTCTACATTCAGTCAAAGACCAATGGAACTTCACTTCTGGTTACATCGTCCTTGCCTGGCTTGGTATTTGCATCTGCTATGGAGGTTTGGGTGGTTCAAAACAATCTCCCCAAATTCTTTGGACTTGTCTTGAGGATGGTGGTGTGTATGTTCCCATGGTCAGGAATACAATGCGCAAGAATAGATGCGGCTTTGTTAAATGATATATTCATTTTGGTGACAACAGAAGCAAAGCTAATGATACTGGTTGCTTGATAGAGTGGTACACTCCTGCTACATACTAATTATCACTAGCCTAGGCTAGCATGTGACGAGTTTATGAAGGAATAGAAGATATACAAACCAAAACAAGTTTTGATCTCATCTTGGCATTGCATTGATGAATAGAGGTATTGAAATGGACTTGAAAGCTCCATATGATGAAGGTTCTAAGCCAGAGTGGATGCCTCAGGCATCAAAGAATGGAAAATATCACCCTTGCAATTGTAGGATTTGTTTCTTCTGTGTGAACAAGAAGACCAGCACCATTGCTCATGGAAAGGTAATGTCAAAACCACATAAAGAAAGATGCAGTGGCAAGTATGAAGGAGTAAAGAGGAGCTATTGTGTTATCTGTGTAGAAGAAGCAAAGCATAGGTATCCTACTAACTCATCAGAGAAGAGATTGAGGAAGTTGCCAGCATGGATTAGTAGTATAAATGTCAAGGAATGGTTGCAGAAGTTGCAATGTTGCTGTATGTAAAGAGCATTGGAGTAACTTCAACCATCAAGTGTGGTGATGTGTTATAAATGAATTCATTTATATTTGTTAAAATACATTCTTATAATATTGTTTATAGTGATGAGAGGGGTGTGATAAGTGGAGTAGCAGTGTAGTAGTAGTAGCAAAAAAAAAATCCTAAATTTTCCAGGTGGCAACATTTGGCAACACGCGACGGGAAAAAGTTAACTGTATAATCCTACCACACCCTACAGGGCAAAAGGGCATCCTACTCAAACACTAAAAATTACTACTATTACTAGTAAAATCACGGTTACTCTCGAAGCCAAATATTTTAGTACTGGTCCTACATAGATATACTAGTTTTTGGTCACTTCTTCCACCACAAACAGCTCAATAACAAGCTAAACACAACAGCTCTGGAGAGGCCTCTAATAATAAGATCCTGCCCTTTGGGGATATGCTCAGTCATTGTGTTAATAAGAGGAGGAGTGCTGTGTGTCATTGTTACACCATGATTAGAGGCCAGGGGGGAGCCAGTTCTCCATTAATAGCCAGTATGGCCATATTTTGCTAGTTTCTGAGACCGGCTGGTGGTGGTTAGAAAATAGTAGTAGGCCTGAACTCTATCAAAAAACAAGAACTCCTCTAGGCCACCAGACTAAGCGCCCAGTCCAAGTTGATACTAGTATAATTACTGAAAAAACCTGGGAGCCTTAAGGATGCTCGTCTGGTGGCTTAGTAGAACTGGTCTGCCAATGTTACACTAGTGGATGGCCAAAAATCTAAATTGATTTTGGCTGTAATTTTATATTGAAATAATTGGTAGTACAAGTACTGCGATGAAAAAAGGTAGCACAGATCACGGCTGTTCACAGGCGGACAATTTTATTTGATATTTGGCGTTTTCTTAGAGTTAGGAATAAGAATACTAATATTTGGTAGGAATCAAGCAATCTGATTGACTGATTAGACAGATCAAAGTTTGCAATTCCTTGAAATTAAATTTCCTTGTAGAACAAGGACAGTATCATGGTAACATAAGAGTAGTACTAATCAATCCAAATTTTGATTTCTGAAGTAGTACAAATCCTTTGTGAGATTTATTTTCAATATTTGATCTATCTAATCAGCCAATCAGATTGCTTGATTCCATGATATTATCCCTAACTCAAAGAAAACACCAACTGCTGTCAAATGAAATCTGCTTTTGTACAATTTGGACAGTCATGGGCTGTTCAAGGTTCAAGAGGACATTTTACAATCAGTCCGGCATTAATTCAGTAGAGTTCAGGAGGTTATCACCAAAATATAGTAGCTATTTTGCTAAAGTACTATTCTAACTAGTCAAAAACAAAGTATTCTACTAATTGACTGAAAAGGAGGTATTTTAATCAGTCAAAAGCATATTCAAATTAGGCAAAAGCATACTACAAATCTAGTAACAATTGATCACCCCACTACTAGTAGTAAAGTGGTTCCCATCATCATTAATTTAATGATGCCATTATTACTAGTAGTAGTAGCACAGTAGAACACGATACAAAATCTACAGATGTAGTTTTCAAAGTCAACTTAATAACACACATTTTTTAACAAAGCATTACTTTTCTGATGTAACCCATACTAGTATATGTCTGGTACATACCCACGGGTGCACTTCCACCAAAACTCCTTGGAGGGAAGTGCTGCCCCTCGGAGCAGCTAGAAGCATACTTTACACCAGCAAAAGCAATGGTTCTGGCCATATAGTGCCTCTTCTACTAGTTCATGAGGTTAAATATAATATTAAGATTTTTTATATCTGGTACATACCCATAAAACAACCTTAGAATAACTCAAGACTTTAGTGTCATTTTGGTCAAAGGGGATCCAAGAATGTTGTTATGTAAAATAGTCATCATTTTTGAGGAGAAAAAGACACTACAAATATCATAACAAGTGATTGCTACACTAAGAAGAAAGTGGTTCCCATCCTTACTTTGATGATGCCATCCTTATTTTTTCAGTACAAATTTTACAGAGCTCCACTGAGTGTTGCTCCCCAACATTTTCAGCATGGTTTGCCTTCTGAGAAAGAAGCAGGATTAGTTTTACACCACCAGAATAGTTGCAAACTACCTCAGTAGATTTTGTGCTGCATTCTACTTTGCTAACAATGATGGCATCATTAAATCAACAATGGGAACCAGCAGTGGTGGTGATCACTAGTTATGATGTTCATTGTATGATGTTACTACTTCTACTACAAATATTTTTGGGGCTCAAACTACTAGGCCCACCAACAAATCATGGATTTTATTCTTGATTATTTTGTGAGTTATACTACTAGTATGTGCATGGTTATTTCTTCTTGTGGGTTACTACTGCCACAGACATCATAACAAGTGATTGCAGCAATAAGAAAGTGGTTCCCATTGTTAATTTAATGATGCCATCTTTAGCCCAGTGGAACACAGTACAAAATGTACTGAGGTAGTTTGCAACTATTCTGGCAACGGAGAGCCAATCCTGCTTCTTTCTCAGAAGGCAAATCATGCTGAAAATTTTGGGGAGCAACATTCAGTAGAGCCCTATAGATTTTGTTCTGAAAAAACAAGGATGACATCATTTAATTAATGATGGGAACCAGCACTTTCTTAGTGCCGCAATCACTTGTTGCTCAATAAACTACCATGAAGCCACTTTTCTTAAAACATAGCTTTTTCAAATATATTTGTTGTTATTTTATTCAATGCAAACCTACTAACCCACATTTTAGAACATGGGGTATTGGTTTTTCAGACAAAAGATAACGCACTTT